TGCAAGACTGGTTGATGTGCTAGATTACGCTAGACATGCAGAGAGTGTTTTCAAAAGCAAACAAGGAAACAAAAAAGGGCAGATACTTGTGTTGAGAATAAACTACTGTTTTATTACAGACGGAAGAAGGCCGGAACAGAGGAAGAAGCAGAGGTAGAGGCAGACGTTACAGAGGATATAGAAGGGACATTTACAGAGAAAATAATTAAAAATAGAGATAGATACAACAACAGAAACAGAGATAACAGATGATATGCTATATGACCAGATTGCTAATCGCACGAGAGGTATTTTCTGCTAAACTCTTCCCAGGAACACCTGACTGAGACCCATTACTGATCCTTAAACCAGGAGATTGGGTGTTGGTTAAGGTGATTAAGAGGAGAAACTGTGGGAACCCAAGTGGGAAGGACCTTATCAAGCTCTGCTTACGACACCAACAGCAGTGAAATTGCTGAGAGACCTTCCTGGGTTCATCTTTCGCACTATGAAAAAGGTAAATTTGAGCGCAGAATAGAATTCAAAAAGAATTGAACATGTTAAAAGCTTATATATCCTATGTTTGGCGACCATTTGAAAGTTGAGTCGCTGTAGCAAATATATCACTAAATAACTGATGAATCTGAGCGAGCAGATCAACGCCAAGTTGGACCATGATCAGAGAGATGGCCGACGGAGTGGAAATTGGAGTGGTAATTTTGACTCTGGTGGTACTGATTACAATCACAGTATATACAGTACCCACACAGGGAACCAAGGGAAAGGTAACAACAAACAAAACCCAAAATCTATAAGTAATAAATGAGTTATAAAACTCAACCGAAATTAATCAGTGTAGACTTCAAATGTTAAAATTATTAATGTGTTCAAATTATTTAAATCTACAGTGAGAATTACCCACAGATCAGAGAATTTATTCAATAGGAGCTTATGTCGCTGGAACTATTCCAATTGGACATTTCTTTATAAAAGTGAAATCAAAATTTCAGAACACAACAGTCAAAATTGATTTCCCACCTTTATCAACAGCTTACTTTGGAAACTACACTTGGTTCCTGTGTGCAGGTAGAATAGGTTTAAACTTAAACGAACTTGGTGTTATCAGACGATAAATGTAACCACTAACAATATTTAGTCCAGTTCCAGAGGTGACCTGTGATAGCTGTGTAGCGATTGGAAGTTGAGGTCGAGGCTGCCTCCTCAGTGGTATGGAAGTTGTGCTTTGGTCCAACTTTTGATGCCCTGTAGTGGGAAAATGATTTCTTTGCTATCCATGTATACACTTTTATTGTGATTTTATTAGTCAAATGATTCTTGTGCCATATGATTTCTGTATACAGTTTTATTCTGGGTTTACCTCTTTATTTTCCCTTGAATATGTCTCAATGTCATTTGAGCCCAACCTTAACTTCTTGTACTGTGCCTTGAAGCTTATCCTCCTGTGCTCCATGATATGAAGATACGGATATCTCTAGACCCCTAGGCACCACACCAACACGCCATAACATCTCTGACCAGAACATAGGAATCAACTCTGGTGCCCGACATCCTACATACGTAAGGAGTCTAATCGGAAGGACATGAATGACGCACAGGAGGGCGGTCTCCACGTTACAAATACAGGGCTCAGAAACTGTCTGACATGTTCACATTGAGAACGCTGTTCTCTGTGTTTGTGGTCTTCTCACTGTGAATCATCAATAAAGAAGCTTCTGTTTAAAATGGTTTTCTGTGCTGTTTGTTTCCTCAAGACGGTCTCTCTCTCTCAGCAAGCTGAAGGCTCATTTCCACCACAGTTCTTCCATATATTCCCAGCTGGAGAGCTTGGGCAGTTATCACACAAATTAAGTAACCATCCAAATTTTTACAGGATCCATAAAAGGAGCATTCCTTTGGGTTCATTTGATCAACATGTTTATATCGACCGGATTGGGGTTCCCAGAGGTGTCCCAGATCAATTTAAAGCAAGAAATCAGATAGCTGCGGGTTTTGAATCATTTATTTTTTGGTGGGTAACCATAAATAAGAACGTTGATTGGATTAATTATTTGTATTTTAACCAACAGCGGTTTATCAATTATACCAGAGAAGCAATTAAAGGGATATCAGAGCAGCTGGGTCCAACGACACTGATGGCATGGCAAAACCGTTTGGCTTTGGATATGCTTTTGGTTCGGGAGGGTGGAGTGTGCAAAATGTTTGGTTCATTTTGCTGTGTATTCGTGCCGAACAACACCTCCCCGGATGGAAGCATCACTAGGGAAACTGGCAGAAAATTCCGGAATTGACAATATGTTCACTCAATGGTTTGATTCTATGTTTGGCAAATGGAGTAATCTTGCCCAGTCTTTGATGGTGTCACTGACTGGTGCATCAGCGATTCTGATTGTGGTAGGATGCTGCTGCATTCCATGCATGAGGGGTTTGCTGATGCGTTGGTTAGATGTTACCATCACCAAAACCATGTATCAAAGTATACATGATGAGGATGATGATGATGATGATGAAATTCATGACGGTAATCTGAGTGAAAACGATGAAACCGAAAATTGACACGTTTCTTTATTTGAGTGAACAATGAATGACATAAGCAGTGAAAATCTGAAAAGAAGAGCTGCTTATTGATGCTATTTTGGATGTAGAGAATGAAGAACCAACCTTTTACCAACTTTTTATTTTTCAATCTACATTATTCAACCTTTTACCAACTTTTTATTTTTAAATCTACATTCATTGAATATAATTATTAGCTTTTGAAGTGTTGTTAGCTTTTAGTCATTAGAATAATTATTAGTTCCTAAATCATTTTATCATTATTAGTGTTTAGAAAAAATCATTAGAAAATACTAGAAGATAAATTAACACATATCAACAATTATTCATGAAAAAAAACATAGTTAATAATAGTTTTTTTTTAAATAAAATGAATTAATTAATTAGACTTAGGTAAATTGTTTAATAAACAGGATTGCTGCAGTAATGAAACAAGTTCTCTGTGTGCACTGCAATGAAGAACTCGCTTGCGGATCTTTTTCATTCTATGGTACTGGAATGAGGACCTGCTTGCAATTTTCTACACGCAGTGAATCTGGCTGTGTCGGTGCGGCGCTGCAGGTCGTGTGCGGTTTGGGTTGTGTTGGGTTGGTGCCGCTGGATTTGCTGTGTTCTTAAAGCTCTGCAAGGAAGAACTGCTGATGCTTTTTTTCCATTCTATTATTCTATGAACTGTTTCTATGGGCATGTCAATGTTTGTTTATTAAACAATATAAAAAATGCTGATTTGATACCAAATTGAACCTAAAAATATGCCTAGTATTAGTGTCTAACTTTATCTGTAATTTCTGTGTATCCCCTCTATGCGGAGTGCCAAGGAGACTGTATTAAGGAGACTGTGTTCCTAAGCAAGGAAGCAGCGATGAGATGGTTCCCAAACTGTAACGCCTTGGGTTTGCTTCTCGTCGTATAAGCTCCTAACATTAAAATGCACTTGGAGATGAGAGCGGATGGATGCGGGACTCGCCATGGAGATGGAGAGGAGAGAATGAATGGTTAAAACATTAACTGTGTAACTGGAATGATCACATGAATGAGATGAACTGACTGTAACTTGACATGATGTTGAAATGAAATTGTAAATGTTCTGTATTTTTCTGATTACATTAATTTTTGTACATATTACACACATTTAGTATCTAGAGAGCGGAATGTTAGAAAAATTATGAAATGTGATTTCATGACTCCATGTTTTTGTAGATACTAAATGTATGATTTATCAAATGCATTAATAACTGTGTCTGTTCAGTTCTATTAGTTCTCATTCCTTTCAGAGATGTTCTCAGCGTTCACCGTGAGCTGAGACACCGTGACATTTTGCTTAGTCATTGCTTTTATTATTCTCTTATTCTCTTTTCCGTTATTGTGACTACGTCCCTGTAACCACCCCTTGTTTGGGTTAAGATAACTCTTTAACTGTGAGACTTTTAGTGGGCAGTAGTGTGTGTATGTTTTTGCGATTGGTTATCACAGTGTTCCATTCTGGCATTCGGATGCTATTCTCTCCTTCTCTCTCTCTATGATGCTTTTCGTCTCCATATGCTCTTAATCTCCTTGATCAAAAATAGGTACCAAACTTAGTATGTCAAATAGGGAATTAAAATTAACCTCAATTGGATTCGTGGTGTCGGTGTTCTTCTTTTGGGAATTTTTCCAACATTAACCTACTACAACACTCATTTTGTCAAAATTGAGAAATTTTTATTTTCGCAGAATTTCTATTGGTCATTATCTGGATCAAAGCTCAATAGCTCCCATAAAATGACTCTTTTATCACCAAATTCAGGTCACACACAACTGTTCTAATGCTTAACCTACTACAACACTCATTTTGTCAAAATTGAGACAAAAGCTAAAGCTAAGCTAATCAGCGTATTACGTCCGGTTTTTAGCCCATGCTTAAGTTTATGGTCACCAAAATGAGTGAAGGAGCTGGACCAAGTAAATCATTAAGTCCTACATGAAAATCATTAAATCCAAATTCAGTGCAAGTCATCAAATTAAACTCAGATTATTACAAAAAATGTAAATAGTTAATTATTATGTGTGTTTTGTAAATTCTAAATAATGTTGAAAATAATTGTTTCTTCATTGATGTTTTACATTTTTGTAGCGGGTATATCACTTTGACTTGGTCATTTTAAAAGTAGCTTGCAAACTGAAAAAGTGTGAGCACCCCTGCCCTAGACCAACAAGCCATGGAGGGTAGGTTTTGATTAATGAGCCATCTGGAAAAAAACTAAAGAATTTATTTTCTGCCACATTGAAGAAAATTTACGTGTTGGGCCATAATTAAAGGTGGGCTCATCCAGGATTTGAACCCGGGACCTCTCGCACCCACAGAAAGAATCATACCCTTAGACCAACGAGGCATGGCAAGTGGGTGTTATTTGGTGTTCCATCTGGAAACGAAACTACAGATGCAACATGGGAGAAAATTAAAGCCGAGCTCATCCCAGATTTGAACCCGGGACCTCTCACACTCTAAGTGAGAATCATTCCACTAGACCAACAGAGCCATGGAGTGTGGGTTATATTTAGTTTGCCTGCTGGAAACAAAACTAAAGCTGCAATATGAAAGAAAATTTACGTGTTGAACCATAATTAATGTTGGGCTGGTCTGGGATTGAACCCAGGGGTGCTCATTACGTCAATCGCGATCGACCGGTCAATCGCATGTGCAAAGAAACAAACGAATTCTAATGCATTCATACGTTTTCTAGGATGAAAAAAGGGACGTTAGGGACAGTAAACTTGATAATCTAGCTTCTACTGTTGTGTTTTAACACTTGTCTTTCTGCTCAAAATCAGTTTCTCATTCCGAAGCGTTTAAAGACAACAGATGACACTGAACTTCCTACTGCAGCGCATGACTTCTAAGAAGTTTATAGTCACTCCAAGATGCCAAACATCACATTAAGACTAAAGAACATGATGTGCATGCTTTTACTGTTTTGACTTTTCAAGTTTCAAGATTTAACATGTGTTTAAAAAGTCCCCAGAGTGCAAAGAAAAAACAGATTAAGATTGTACTTTATTAATGAAAGAAACGAAATCTTATGCAGTTATACACTCTCTGAGGTGACTAACTTGCCAATAAGAACAGTAAACTTGATGCTCTAGCTTTTACTGTCTGGTTTGAACACTTTTCTTCTGTGTGGAATCAGTTTCTCATTTCCAGGCGTTTAAAGACAACAGATGACACTGAACTTCCATACTGCAGTGCATGAGTTCTAGGAAGATTATAGTCCTTCTAAGATTGCCAAATATCACATAAGACTTAAAGAACATGATGTGCATGCTTTTACTGTTCTGTCGTTATACTTTTCAAGTTAACATGTAACATGTGCTAAAAAAGTCCCCAGAGTGCAAAGAAAAAACAGATTAAGATTGTACTTTATTAATGAAAGAAACGAAATCTTATGCAGTTATACACTCTCTAAGATGAATAACTTGCCAATAAGAACAGTAAACTTGATGTTCTAGCTTTTACTGTCCTGTTTGAACACTTGTCTTCTGTGCGGAATCACTTAAGTCTTGATGTGATGTTTGGCAATCTTAGAAGGACTATAATCTTCCTAGAACTCATGCACTGCAGTATGGAAGTTCAGTGTCATCTGTTGTCTTTTTTATCGCTTGGAAATGCGAAACTGATTCCGCACAGAAGACAAGAGATGAGGATGTTGAGGTTCAGTTTAGGAGTGACGAGGATGGACAAGATTTGGAATGAACACATCAGAGGGACAGCTCAGGTTGGTTGTTTTGGAGACAAAGTCAGAGAGGCCAGGTTGAGATGGTTTGGACATGTGCAGAGGAGGGATAGTGGTTATATTGGTAGAAGGATGTTGGAGATGGAGATGCCAGGCAAGAGGTCAAGAGTAAGGACAAAGACGAGATATATGGATGTGCTGAAAGAGGAAATGAAGGTAGTTGGTGCAAGAGTAGAGGATACTGAGGACAGAGTTAGGTGGAAAAGGATGATTCGCTGTGGCGACCCCTAAACTGGGAACAGCCGAAAGGAAAAGAAGAAGAAGAAGATAGAAAAGAAGAGAAAGAAAAAGAAAAAGAGAGAAATAAAGAGACCGATCCCAGAGAGTCGATCAGCGCACGAGAGAGAGAGAGAGAGAGAGAGAGAGTCAGCAAGCGCTTTCTTAACTCGTTATCTTCTCCTCAAGGGCGGGACTAAAGTATGACGTGTGCTCTTAAAAGTTTCTCAAATTACATTTCTCAATATGACCACAAGATGGAGGCATTACATAGGAAAATTCCCATCACATTCCCTCCTTTTGTCACAAGACAACAAAAATAATTCTACAAAAATAAGATATTTTATACTGTAAGTAAAAATCCAGTTAAGCAATGTATGACTATTTTTTCAATATTGTAACCCAAAATTGTTTTCTACAATATCTTCATTATTTTGCTCAACGTTCTTCTTCCACTATAAAATTTCAAAACACTTCTAATAATAAACAAGCAAAATTATTAAAATTCTAAATCACTTCTCATAGTAAACAAGCAAATTATAACACACTAAAATCAAATGCAAACATGTATTATCTAACATTCTAATTAGCATTACATGCATTACCTAAATATCCTAAAAAAACAACACATTCTTCCTTTTCCCACAACGGTATCGAAAGGTCAGGTTCCTGGCATTGAGGAAAGTTTTCCCCTTTCTAATTGAAACTAGCTGAAAAATCTATTTATAAATTTGTCAAGATACAGACCTTCAAACACCGCCCTGGAGTATATGAAGCCAAACATCTCCCCGTCGTTTTGTTTGACAAGAAGTAAAAGACTTTCATACCTCTAACTGATATCTATGACGTTTGCTGTGTGTACAATGTGTTCAACAATGAATGACAAAACATATAACATTTATTGCAATGTATTCTTGTCCTCGTATTCGTCACAGTCCCTCTGATATTTCCAGTTGTCCCAAAGTTCCTTTGATGTGTCCTTTTCCCAAAGTTCCTCTGATGTCTCCAGTTTCCTGGACACACTAAAATGATTGATTACCAAAAGAACAATTTCTCAATTCGAAATGTTTTCTAGATCATTAAATGGTGCATACCATTCCTCATCCATCATTTTCACCATTTTATATCCTTCCATTGTGATGACCAAAGTGACAGCCTTTTGCAACAAGGTCGAGATGCATCGCAAAAGACAAGGCAGGCAGATGATGATCAGCAAGATCATAAATATCACCAGGACAATCGTGTACATCATCCAATGGAACCATCCACTTCCCAGGTTTAAGAACCATGAAAACCATGAATTATCTACTATTGGTGGTATTACTATAGAATTTTTCATGTGTTGTATTATGTTTGATATATTCTTAGATTCGTCTGGGATATTGAAACAGCAAGAAGTACCTAATAATTTACAGACTCCTCCCTTTTCTGCTGTAAGAATATCCAAAGCCAGTCTATTTTGAATAACCGCATCTCTAATGTTTCTCATTTCATTATTGATAAGTCCTAATGCAACTTCAGTATCATTAGCTAAGGATAACATACTGTAAGCTAACCCATTGATTTTATTCAACGCCATCGTCGTACCACCTCCTAGAAATAAAGATCATCCTATGTTCGCTGCCGGTGACGTCCATGAATCTGATAAAACATACCCATTAAATCTTGGTATTCTATTTATATCTCTTTTTGCACGTGAGTTTTCAATTGAACTATCCTGTATTAGAACTGACGTACCCGTCGAGAGTAAGGCAGCATAACAACACCCTCTCCATTTCTGAGGAAGTTGATGATATGCTCTCGTACCATATACCCATACTGCAGCCGGGGCTGAATCTAATATTGAAAATGGACAATAGAAATCAACAGTTATTCCATTTTTATCTAGAATTGAACATTGTTCTTCTTTATGGTTACTTTCATGTTGCATTGTAATAACCCTACGTCATATTTTCCCTCCTTTGAACATATGCACACTTCTGCTTTTGTTGTTGTTACTTCAAAACTTAGTTTTGAATACATAGGTTTATCAGTAGAACAATTAGTTTGAATATTGTCTAAACTTACTTTATTTTCAAATGCTTCTCCCATTAACGTTATAATAGCCATAGCTTTGAGAATTTTACATTGATTTTGTTTTACTAGATCAATAGTAATTTGCTCTGTCTACCATTCCTGATTCATTCAGCAAACATATCCAACAACTTCGGTTAAGGTTTAAACTTTCATGTTGAAGTAATGCTAACGCACATACATGATTTCCTTCACATTTTATTTTAGCTATTTTAACCTGTTTTGCATCTTTTGATAATTTAGTAGTTTTCATAACTTCCACTCTATTTGTTATATCCAAATCACTAATAATTTGATCATTATTTGTTTTAACGCTGGGGTAGGAATTTGTTGAATCACTTCAACATCAACTACCATCTCGTATGAATCTGATGTGATTTGTTCTGTCACACACCAGAATTTACCCGCATCTGCCTTGGTTACTCCTGTCAGAGTAAAAGTGACCAAGCTTCCATTTTTGTTCCATGAACATCCACCTGGTCTATGACCAACCAGTAGAGGAGATGTACTGCACCAAACAGAACTCCAATCCTTCGAGTCACAAGGATGTTTGCAGAGATAATGAATCCAAGGCCATAGGTTACCTTCGTTGATGTATCTAGTAACACATTCTACCTTTCCTTCAGATCCCTCTTGCAGGTGACTCTCTTGCAGGTGTTGATCGCTCAAGTCCACCTCCCTTATGAACCACAAAAACAAAAACTGATCCAGGTCAACTTAAACTCCATTACTGGTTATCGATACCTGCTGTATATATGTTCTTTTAGTAGGCTCCTTCAGCAAGCTTCTTCAACAGACTCCTGCAGCAGGCTCCGGAACCTTTCTGCAGTGACTAGCTCTTTCTGCTACTTTAACTGCTGTCGGTGTTGTAAGAAGAATTTGGAAGGGACCTTGCCAGCGTTTGGATTGCCAGTTTTTTCTTCTAAAATCCTTCACCACCACCCAGTCTCCAGGTTTCAGGTCGTGAAGGTCCACTTGTGTCAGTTACTGTTCTGTGCAGAGAATTCAGAACAGAAGACAAGTTTTACACAATTCACAAGCATTTCATCTTCACATTCGCTAGTCAATGTTCTCGGAGGACCTGAAGGTCCAATGCCAGTATAAGCTGGTCTCATCAATATTTCAAAAAGACTCAATTGTGCTCGACCCCGGATTCTCGTTCTCATATGTAAGAGTACGAGAGGGAGAGCTTTTACCCATGTGAGCCCTGTTTCCTCACAACACTTCGCTAGCTTGTTCTTGAGAGTTCCATTCTCTCTTTCTACTGCACCTGCACTGGCAGGATGATAAGCACAGTGATGTTTCAGATCAATACCCAAGTATTCACCAACCATTCGAAGTGCATTGTTCACAAATGGAGTAGCATTATCACTGGAAATCCGGTTTGGTATTCCCCATCTAGGAATCACCTCAGCAAGCAACGATTTTGCCACCGCACTTGCATTCTGTTTAGCATTCT